TTGTGACAATTGGATTTATATAGGGTGGCCGTAAAGTGCAAAGCAAATCACAATTCTGAAAACAAAATAACAAATTACAAACGCAAATGCAAGTCTAAAAAACAAAATAACAATTCAGAAAGCACAACAACAATTTAGAAAACATTATAACAAGTCAGAAAACACAATGACAAATTCAAAAACAAAATAACATGTCAGAAAACACAACGACAAATCAGACAAACCGGAAGAGGTAGGTATAGTTTGCGACAGCGCCATTGGTTTGGGATTACTCACCGCTGACTGGACGAGACATCTGTCAATCAACGTATACAGGAAGAACCAGCCGAAGAACAGCAGAGTCATGGTAGAAAGTTCGGAGATGGTAGTAAAGTAGCTCAGTTTAAATGTATTGTAATCTGTCAATCAATGTATACAGGAAGAACCAGCCGAAGAACAGCAGAGTCATGGTAGAAAGTTCGGAGATGGTAGTAAAGTAGCTCAGTTTAAATGTATTGTATTAATTGCCCTTACTATGGAATAAAAAATACGCGGTGTCTATTTAGATTTAGTTAAAAGTGGCTGCTAAACCTTAGCTCCAGTGGCACAGATGGATAAGCGCTTGCCCTTGGCTTCTTGATGCGGTCGACCAGGGTTTGATCCCACCTTTTGCCGAACTTTTTTTTCCTCCCTTTTCAAATCTATATACTATACTATAAAATATATACTCCGTATTGTTTGATTGATAGATGTCTCGTCCAGTCAGCAGTGAGTAATCCCAAACCAATGGCGCCTACCTCTTCCGGTTTGTCTGAATTGTCGTTGTGTTTTATGACTTGTTATTTTGTTTTCGAATTTGTCATTGTGTTTTCTGACTTGTTATAATGTTTTCTGAATTGTTGTTGTGCTTTCTGAATTGTTATTTTGGTTTTTAGACTTGCATTTGCATTTTGTTATTTTGTTTTCAGAATTGTGATTTGCTTTGCACTTCTCTGCCACCGTATTTATAGCATCAGTTTTATACACTGCAAGGCTTATATCTGTGTTTGGTGATCCAGGGATTGTTTTCTATAGCCATTGAATCGAGTCACATTTTCAGCATAGGTTCCTTGAGTTCAGACAGTTGGCAAAAGTCATTTTCATAAAAGGCTGACACTTAAATAAATATATAATACATATCTCATTAAATGCTAAAACTCTAAGGATGTGATTGACAAATTAATGTTTTGTAAAATGTTAGATTGATTCCCCCAACTACCCGCATGCCAGAACTCCTTCACAAATCACATAAATTACATAAGTTGGCTTCAAAATTCTGTGCTCGTTGTCCTCCGTCTTCTGTTTGTATTTCCATATCGTGAAGGTAAGTTCATACAAATGTACCACTTGTTTTAAAAACTACTCACATTTTTTATGACATCTGCTTTGGACATTACAGCACACATGATAACTTTTGTCAACTCTACAATAAGTGAATTCACTTGACCAGCAAATTACTCAAATTCTCTACTCTACTCTAATTAAATAAATATTATTATTATTATTGGCCTTACTTATTCAGTGCTAGAATGAGTTTCTATACTGTGTGCTCCCTTTGCTGTGTTGTGCTAGTTTTCGTTTTCATCTGTAAATGTTATCTAGCGCTCAGGTATGATGACAAGTATTTACCCAGCTTGTGTGCCTCTGATGTTTGACCGCATTTGATTATGCTGGTGTTGAGCAAACTGTGTCATCTCAGAGTGTGAACAGACCTTTGCTCTCAGAGAAACATATCAGTATGTTCATTTGCACGAGTTTTGTTGAAAGCCAAATGCTACAAAATCAATTGTTACTGAATCATGTTCAGCCTGGTCCCATTGTTTATTATAGGTACAATTTTATATAAAACATATATATAATCTCTAGTTTTTTTTTTATTTGTGTGTGTGTGTGTGTGTGTGTGTGTGTGTGTGTGTAAACAATCTTTTTAATGTGTTAATAATTAAGTATTATTATTTTATCCGTTTATTCATTAATTAATTCAATCATTCATTCATTAATTCATTCATTCAGGCCACACTCATTTTTCACCCCATCCCTGTTTGCTGTGGCATCTCCTTTTTTCACTGAATATCTAGAGTTTGTCCCACTTGTCCTCCTTATTCTGCCTCGCTATTAACAGTACCAAAGGTGGGATCAATTAAAGGGATAGTTCACTCAGAAACATTTTGTCTTTACGCATATAATGCAGACCTGTGCTGTTATAGTAATCAGATGTACTGTCTATTTTTTTTCAGTAATTACACATACTTTTCTGTAGTTATATAAAATTATATTTTAGTTTTGATAAAATGAGAGTACTGCTTTCCATTTGGTTGAAGGCCATGTGAGTGCTGAGTGAGCAGATTCTGATGGATCGCATGAACCTTTATGAACCTGCAGAGGCAGAGAGTGTTTTGAGCACAATTTCACCTGTCCTCTCTTTCAAGTAGCATTAGGAAGGCTATGATTCTCGCTCTCTCTCTCTCTCTCTCTCTCTCTC